AATACATAGGTTATATGTGATAGATAACTATTTTAAAATTAATTAATAATTTTTTTTATATTAAAAAATAAATACTGAAATGCTAAAATCTTTACACTTTTATACTTTATTTATATGTATTATTATATTATTATATATTTTCTTTAAATATATAATTGTCTAATGTGATAGAGTTTTACAGAAAATAAAATAGATAATTTGTGGTAGAGTTTTATAAAAAAATTTGTCATTTGTGGTAGAGTTTAATAGAAATTTTTTTATTTTCTTTAAATATATCCATGTATAGCTTGTTTTTATTTTCTTTTATTAAAAAACTCATACTAAAAGGTAATTTGAGGTAGAGTTTTAGAAAAATTATTTTATTTTTATATCTATTATTAAATATTTTTTATATTAATAATTCTTCTCTAGTTATTATATTTTCTTTTATTAAAAAACTCATAATAAATACATAAATAGGTAATTTGTATTAGAGTTTTATATAAACTCTTTTAAAAAAATATTTTAATTTCTTTAAATATATTGTTGTCTAATTTGATTTCCTTCATTAAAAAACTCATAATAAATAGATAAAAACAGGTTAAATGTGATAGAGTTTTAATAAAAATAAAATAGATAATTTGTGGTACAGTTTTATAAAAATTATTTTATTTTCTGAAAATCTATTTATAATAAATAAATAAATTGGTAATTTGTGTAACAGTTTAATAGAAACTTTTAAAAAACTTTTTTATGTCAATTAATAAATATTTCTTATATTAATAATTCTTGTCTAATTAGATTTTCTTTTATTAAAAAACTCATAATAAATAAAGAAATAGGTAATTTGTGTTGAGTTTTATAGAAACTCTTTTCAAACCTTTTTTTTATATCAATTAATAAATAATTTTTTTATTTTAATAATGCTTGTTAATTGGATTTCCTTTTATTAAAAAACTCATAATAAATAGATAAATAGGTAATTTGTGTTAGAGTTTTATAGAAACTCTTTAAATATATCCTTCTCTAATGTGATAAAGTTTTATTGAAAATAAAATATTTTTTACATTAATAATTCTAGTCTAATATATTTTCGTTTGTTAAAAAATTTATAATAAATAAATAAATAGGTAATTTGTTTTAGAGTTTAATAAAAACTCTTTTAAAAATACTTTTTATATCAATTAATAAATATTTTTTATATTAATAATTCTTAATGAATATTTTTTATATTAATAATTCTTGTCTAATTAAATTTCCTTTTATTAAAAAACTCATAATAAATAGATAAATAGGTAATTTGTGTTAGAGTTTTATAGAAACAATTTTAAAACCATTTTTTAGATCAATTAATAAATAATTTTTTATATTAATAGCACTTGCCTAATTAGATTTTCTTTTATTAAAAAACTCTTAATAAATATATAAATAGGTAATTTGTATTAAAATTTTATAGAAACCTTTTAAATATTATATCTTTGTCTATTGTTATAGTATCGTATTGAAAATAAAATATGTAATTTGTGATAGAGTTTTATATAAAATATTTTATTTTATTTAAATATATCCTTGTCTAATTAAATTTAATTTTACTAAGAAACTCATAATAAAAGTTAATTTGTGGTAGAGTTTTAGAAAAATTATTTTAAAATATATCAATTAATAAATATTTTTTATATTAATAATTTTTGTCTAAATAGATTTTCTTCTACTCAAAAATTCATAATTATGAATAGATAAATAGGTTAATTTAAATTTTATTACATAGATTTTAGGGTATGATAGACTTTTTTTTTTTTTTTTTTCTAAAAAAACTCTTTGCATATCAATTAATAAATATTTTTATTTGTATAAATAGATACTTAAATACTGAAACTTTTTGCACATTTAATAATTGTATAGCCAAAAACTTTTTGTATATCAATTAATAAATATTTTTTATATAAATAAATAAATACTGAAACACTTTGGTAGAGTTTATGTACTTTACTTTGAAAATTAGATTTTCTTTTATTAAAAAATTGTAATATGTAATACGTGTTAGAGTGTTATAGAAAATATTTTTAAAACTATTTTTATATGAATTAATAAATATTTTTATATTTTAAAATTCCTGTCTAATTAGTTTAACTTTTATTAAAAAAAAACCCATAATAAAAGGTAATTTGTGGTAGAGCTTTAGATGAATTATTTTATTTTTTATATCAATTAAAAATATTTTTTTATATTAATAATTCTTGTCTTGTTAGATTTTCTTTTATTAAAAAACTTATAATAAATAAATAAATAGATAATTTGTGTTAGAGTTTAATATAAATTCTTTTTATATCAATTAATAAATATTTTTTATTTTAGTAATTTTTGTCTAATTAGGTTTCCATTTATTAAAAAACTCATAATAAATAAATAAATAGGCAATTTGTGTTAGAGTTTTATATAAAATCTTTAAATATATCTTTGTTGATAGAGTTTTATTGCAAAATAAAATAGGTAATTTGTAATAGAGTTTTATAAAAATTATTTTATTTTTTTTTAAATATATTCTTATCTAACTAGATTTAATTTTATTAAGAAACTCATTATTAAAGATAATTTGTGGAAGAGTTTTATAAAAATTATTTTATTTTATATATCAATTAATAAATATTTTTATATTAATAATTTTTGTCTAATTAGATTTTCTTTTATTAAAAAATTCATAATAATAAATAGATAAATAGGTTAGTTTAAATTTTATTATGTAGATTTTATTTCAATTAATAAATAAATAGTAAAACTCTTTGCACAAAGACCGAAAAAATAGTACTACACTTGATCTTAGCCAAAAGACCAAGAAAGGTTAGCCAAAAGGCTGACCGAAAAAAATTTAGTATTACACTTGATCTTGGCCAAAAGGCCGAGAAGGTATGATTATTATTTCTTTAACTCTATAGTTTTATAAGAGGCTTTCATGTAATCTTTTTTACTTAAAACCAATGTGGGATTTTATAATTTGAATTAAACTTTTTTTATATTTGGTTAATTTGAATTAATTTTAATTTTATTAGGTAATTAAAATATTGAAATACTATTCTATATATCGTGTGAAAGCTCTTTATTGTGAATTAAATTCTTTTTATATTTTGTTAATTTGAATTAATTTGAATTTTATTAGGTAATTTTGAGTTTTATAGAATTTATATTAATTAATAAATAAATACTGAAACTCTTTGCACAAAAGGCCGAGAAAGTAGTATTACACTGATCTTAGCGAAAAGATCAAGAAAGGTTAGCCAAAAGGCTGACCCAAAAAAATTCTAGTACTATACTTGATCTTAGTCAAAAGGTGAGAAGGTGTGATTATTATTTCTTTAGCTCTATAGTTTTATAAGAGGCTTTCATGTAATCTTTTTTTTTTTTTTTACTTAAAATCAATGTGGGACTTTATAATTTGAATTAAACTCTTTTTATATTTTGTTAATTTGAATTAATTTTAATTTTATTAGGTAATTTTGAGTTTTATAGAATTTATATCAATTAATAAATAAATATTGAAATACTGAACTTGATCTTAGCCAAAAGACCAAGCAAGATTAGCCAAAAGGCTGACCCAAAAAAATTTAGTACTACACTTGATCTTAGCCAAATGGCCGAGAAGGTGTGATTATTATTTCTTTAACTCTATAGTTTTATAAGAGATTTTTATGTAATCTTTTTTACTTAAAACCAATGTGTGACTTTGTAATTTGAATTAAACTCTTTTTATATTTTGTTAATTTGAATTAATTTTAATTTTATTAGGTAATTTTGAGTTTTATAGAACTTATATTAATTAATAAATAAATACTGAAATACTGAAACGCGGAAACACTTTGCACATTTAATAATAGTATAGATATAAATATATGATAGATAGATATAGATATATGATAGATAGATATAGATATAGATATATATCTGTTCTTGTTTCACTTTTCTTTTTTTTTTTTTAATTTTAAAAAATAAACAAAAAATATATGGAACATTCAATAAGTTATGAAATCGGATATAAATTTTACTAACACCAATCGAATCACATATATTTCTTATTGAATTTGGATCAACTCAAATCAGATTTGGTCCGAAACCTATTACTACTTGTCTACCAGATTAAACTGTTACAGAATTTGGATCAACTCAAATCAGATTTGGTCCGAAACCTATTACTACTTGTCTACCAGATTAAACTGTTACAGAAGGTGTAATTGACTTTTTAAGCGGATTCCTATTCAAGGACGTACAGGAGTGGGATCACCTTCTTTCGATTAAAAATGGCAATAGAACTTTATTAATCTTAGTCCAATTATTTTTTATCCAAGTTTCTTTCTTATTATTATTATGATTATTATTAAATTTTGGCTAATTGATTTTTATCCCACAATATTTTCTCTACTGTAAAGCTCTAAAATTGCTTGAACTTGAATAGTGGCGTGGTAAACGGTGCACTAACATTTAAACTTTTAAATTTTGTATCTGAAAAAAAAAATATATTGTGTGTGAGTTTTTTACCATTGACAAAAAAAAAAAAAAAAACCTGAAAGACGTACAATTGGTAAAGTTTCAATTTTCCTCAATGGCCTCTGCTCCAAATACCATATCGACAAGCAATCCAAGATTGTGATAGTAGTTCAATTTTAATTATACATGATGATGAATGACAGTTTTATTCGGTTGTATATTATTTTTATTTTTATTTTTAATTTCTAAGAAGTTTAATTTTAGATTTTTAATTTCTTTCTACAATTAGTTTCTTTATATTTTTAGTTTATTTAAGTATTTAGTTTCTTTTATTTATTAGTTTCCTTTATAGTTTTAGAATTTTATTTATTATAAAAACATGTATTGAAATAGCAATAAAAAATCGATCAATTTTTATCGATAATACCTCAGAATTCTTTATAATTTTTTTTTGATATTGTGTGGATTCAAAATAACTCACATGACCTGCTTGTTATAGGAAGATTCAGCAACAAAGGGATAATATAATTTATATAGAAAACGAATTTAAAGAACGAAAAGCAATTTTTAAGCATTCTTTTTATTTAAAAAGACTGATGACTAAACAAGACAAATATGGCATTTGTCCCAATGCCCAGTAATAAATATATAACAGAACATGATAAAATATTTAGGAAAGTGAAATAACATTAATGGAATACAATACTCACTACTCTTTCACTTTGCTTGTTAGAAGACTCAAAAGATTATGTAATATTTATTTCTCAGTCAAACATACTGAAATTTTGCATGACATTCTAGAGTGGTACTTTTGCTTGGTTGCTGGGACTATCATAACCAACTGTACTGCTAGTGCTACTGCCATCCAACGACTTACCTGGAAGGAGTTCGGGTTCCGTAGGATTCACTTCCGGACTAGTCAAAAGGTTTTTCCCCTTTCTCATAAGTTCCTCAAGCTTAGTTGCCACTTCGCTCATTGCAGGCCTTTCGTCCCCTTTCAATTTTAAGCAATGCAACGCAAGTGTGGCAACTTCACCTACTTGCTCATCATCATCCTCTTTCCCAATTCGATGATCTAGAATTAAGCGATTCTTATTCATGGATGAAATGAAATAATTGGACAAGATTCTTTCCTTTTCTGGTTTGTCAGAACAAATTGCTATTCTGCCAGTAAGAAGCTCTACAAGAACCACTCCAAAACTATAAATATCACTTTTTTTGGACAATTGACTTGTCTGATGATATTCAGGGTCTAAATAGCCGAGCGTTCCTTGAATCATTGTTTGTAACTGTTTTTCATTCGATGGACCTATTCTCGAAGCTCCAAAGTCGGATACTTTTGCAGTGAAACCATCATGTAAGAGTATGTTAGTTGACTTAACATCTCCATGAATGATTCCTTTAGAGTGTAAATACGAAAGTGCTTCAGCAGTTTCTTTGGCAATCCTTAGACGAATTTCCCAAGAAATAGACAACCCTGGTACTTCATGTATATGATGGAATAGAGTTCCATTGGTGATAAACTCATAAACCAACAAAGGGACTTCCACCTCTAAACAACAGCCCAACAATTTTACCACATTTGTTTGATTGATTTGGGAGAGCGCAACCACCTCATCAGTGAATTTGCTTTGATCAACCACTACAGACCGCTTAATAGCAACTGCCATATTATTTTGGGGTAGAACTCCTTTGTAGACTTTTCCGAACCCTCCCTCACCAACAAAATTTTTTTTATTGAAGTTATTGGTTGCCTTCTGGAGCACTTCTATGGTAAATATTTTGGCTGCCTCAACTGAAGGGTCTAGCAATGATAACTTTTCTTGTAACATCGTACCACCATTTTGCTCAAAATTTTTTGCTTTCTGTTGGATCAGCCTTCTTCTTCTGATTACCCAAACTAACGAAGAAGATGCCACACTTAATACCAAAATGCCAATGACACTACCTACATTTAAAATAACCATATTTGTACTCATATCCAAATTTAGTAAAAAAAAAAAAAAAAAAACAACAAAAGAGGGGGAATCAAATATGGAAAAGCTTGCCTTCCATTTCAATTAATTGATCTATTAATTTTAGATCAATTAATTGAATAATTAAAACTGCTCTTCAAGTTGGTAAGTAGTATGTATATAATACTCTGTATTTGGATTATGATCAAATTATGACTAACTTTGACTATTAAATTTACAACTTGAAATCAGAAGATAAACGTTTGTCGTGCTCATCCTTTCAAAGGGTAGATTAAGCACACAAATAACTCTGCTTGGTGAATAAACATCACCACTAAGATAAATTCCTTTGTAGTGTTAATTTTGGAAGAAAAACTGTAACCTTGAACAAACCAACCAGGTATATTATTCCTGAATACTAGGTAGTTTTGATCATATTTTAAAATTCACTCATTCCCATTGTTTGGAAACTTTCCTTAATGAGAATACTATATATGACAATCTGGTACTTCTTCGTTCTTCAAAAGAAAATATCAAAAGTTCAAGTACCTGTAAGGACGTTGTGGGTGTGTTACGTGTCACTCAAGAGCATAATATTTATCATTAGTGTAGGCCGACTGGAATTTTTTGAAATTTTTGCTATTAGCCTAATCGGATTTGGATTCTTCTAATTTTTGGGATTTATGTTTGTTAATTGGTTATGTTTATTATATTATATTATATTATGTATTTAAAAGTCTAATTAATTTCCTTGTGCGGTAGCATTTTAAATTTTCTTACACTGTTAGGTTTTCTAAACTATATATGCGTTTAGATCATAATTCATGTGTGTAGATTATTTTCACAATCTATAAACTAAGCTACGCACTTCTTTGAGGAAAAAAAAAAAAAATGAATCAATTTCCTCTGCCATTAGAGTTGCAGTGAATGGGAAAAATAAAATAAAATAAGACTACAAAGTTTATTTGATTTATTATTATTATTATTATTATTATTCACAATATCCAGAACCAATTGTGGAAGAGAGGAATTTCAAGTATTCATTTATTTATAGCGCATTAAGTCCAAAATACTTACCCACACCAATCTTAATTACCAGAAGACGATCAGCAATGCATCCAGTTCCATTTTTCCTGCCATCTCCATGGTACCCTTTGGGACAAGAACACGTGTAATTTCCCACTCTATTTTTACAGAAATTTTTATTTTCTTCACACGGATAGGGTGTTTGTTCATCGTTACATTCATCGATATCTGCATAACAATAGTCCATCAGAAATTACAATAAAAGAGAAGTCAATCATCACAGAAATTACTGTTGACATAATTTAATTAGCAGCAATGAACACACACACATATAATATATATACACACCCAACATGAATATATGTGATTGATAGATATATTATACCTTGGCAACCATCGCCATCAGTGAGGTATGGGTTTCCACGGTAACCCTCGGAGCAATTGCAACGGTACCCCTGACCAAAATCAACTTCATAACAGGAGGTATTTCCTTTACATGCATATCCGGGTGATTCTTTGGCAACACTACAACTGACATTCCCAATTGCCCAATCAAGCACCACTGGGAGCTTTTCTACTTTCTGTAAACTACTAAGATTGTTGGAGGAGAAGTTGAACTTATCCTCTTCAACGACAAAGGCATAACTACATTTGCTGAAATTCCATACGAACGAATGGTTGAAGTAGCTGTCTAATACTACTCTGTACTGTGCAACCCCTGTTGGGATGGATGTTTGGCAACAACCGATGCCAGAGCAAGACCCATTGGTAACGTAGTCTAGGCTGTCACATATGGTCATGCATCCACTCCCATACGTCCTATCTTCTTTCACACCTACAATGGACGCTCGAGTGGCACATCCAACTGCTGTGAACTTGTTTCTGGTACTAGAGATCCTGAATTTGGACAATCTGATTGAGGGTATATTACTTACGGTCCGCGAACCCGACTGGTCATAGCAATTGCTGGCTATATAATGCAAGATGTACAGTTGACCATCGACTGAAATGTTGGTGACATTAATATTACTAGTATTTGAATAGAAAAGTTTGGGAGGATTGTAAGTTTTGTTACAAGTAACGAGAAATTCAGGGTCATGGTAGCAGCCCGCCTCTGTGCCAAATGGATATGGGATGCTAATGCTGCCACATTTGCCTTGGCAATCCGGCTTGGCTTGAGCACTTATTAGTGCTGCCATGGCTGCTACCAGAGTAACCTGCACAAGCATTGTTAGCAAGTCCATATGGGATTCTTTGTTTCTCAGGTTAGATGAGATGTTTGTCTTGAAAACTTCCAATGATTAATGCTCATCTTATAGAAAATCTCCCAAGGACGTTCACCAATTCAGTGGCTGTAAAGTACGTTGATCAAAGTTGAAGTCAACCGAAAATAGTTTTAGTTTTATAAAATTTTAAAAATTATTTTTAAAGTTACAAATTACACTATTAAAATCTGTTTTGTTCAATTTTTTAAAGAAAAATGGTAGGTCTTCCGACTTCAATTGCCGATTCATACTTCGAATATAACGTGATTGGATGATGTTGGAACTCTTAAAATAAATTCAAAGAATAAATCGACAATTGAGGTAAGAAGAACTATCACCATTTTTTTTTTTTTTAAATATTACTTAAAACCTGGTAAAACAAAAAAATTGAAGTATTTCATTTTTCCTATAAACAAAAAGGTAGTGAGATGACTTTGACATGTCACAATACTTTTGGGTGTTTTCCACTTCATGGCCCTACAGAACTTGGGCACTTCTTTTCACAGCAAGGACACGGGCTTCACGATTTGGGTTAGTTGGACTTCAAATCTTGATCCCACATCACAGAAATCATTTGGATGTTTATTTAGGCTACAATACGTCAATTTTACTTTTTATGCTCTCTACCGGATAATTAGCGAAAATCAGCTATGAATAGACAGCATCCCCATCCCTTAACCTTAATTTCTATTATATACCTACATATGCTGGTGAATTAGTGTTACCATACAATTGTATTTTCTCTTTCTTAATTCATAATAATAAAATATCTACCATGGACGTAATTTTAAAGTTACGTGAATAATGTAAAATATTGTATTATGCATGAATTTGTATAATTGGTATATTCATATATGTTTATGTTGATGTGATGTGATAGTATTTTCGCTGTGTGTGATCAAGAATGAATTTAACTCTCAACAGTAGTCGACTGTTGAGTGGGTTAGAGAGAGTAAATTTTTCCCAAACTCTAATACCACTTGTTAGAGAAAACTTAACTCTCTCAGTGGTATCAGAGCTAATGGTGGATCAAAGCCAGTGATTGGTCCTGAAGATCAGTGTAGAAAGTTAGTGTGAAGTTTGTCAAAACAGAAGGTTGATTATGAAGTGCTATGGAAATTCAATCAGAGTTGATGATGACACAAGGTATGTTGGTGTGAAGCCCACGAAGAACAAGTTTTGGGGATAAGCCAGAGAAGGTGTTAGTTCTCAAGATGAGGCAATGGTGTGAAGAATGAGGAGTTTGCTCTAAGCCCAATAAAGAGCAAAGGGGAATATGAAGAGTAAAGATGAGAGGTTTGTTCCTTTAAGCCAGAAAAACAATTGATGAGGATGAGTTTGAAAATTGGTCGATTGTCATGCGTGAGCAATTGAACACCAATGAGGATGATGGATAGAGTTTGGTTCGAGGTGGAGCAATCTTTACTTGAGGTGTAGCTATCTTCAATTGAGGTGGAGCTATGAAGGAACACATGAAGACGAATTTTGAGCCAATGTGAAGATTGTTGGGTTTGTGGCTCAAAATTTGTGTGAAGAAAATTAGTTTCCTTTTTCGTTTTGGAATGCTAAAATTTGTGAAAAAATTGTATCGCACTATGTTTCTATTTTAGAATTGTGATCATTATGGTAACTCCTTGTAGGCAAGTTGAGGAATACTTGTTCGATGAGGAATTGAGTTTTAAGACTCTATAAATAGAGATAGGTGTGAGAGGTTTAGTGAGAGAGAAAAAAGAGAAAAGATATAAAGGGTTTAGAGTTGTGATCATTTCGGTAACGCCTTATAGGCAAGTTGAGGAATACTTATCCAAAAAGGAATTGGGTATGAAAACTATAAAAATATAGATGGATGTGAGAGATTTAGTGAGAGAGAGAAAATAGAAAAGACGTAGGGGTTTAAGGGTAAGTGTTGTGAGAAGATGAGAGAGTATATGTAATTTCCTAGTATATACATGTAGCCTCAAAAGAGATGATGAGAGAGTGAGTAGGGTTTTGACATGTGGTTGTATATTCTCTTCCTTGATTTATAATAGTGAAATCTCCCTCTCCCATGGATGTAACCCTAGAGTTGGGTGTACTGTATAAAATATTGTGTTGTGCGTGAATGTGTATGATTGTTATATCCATATATGTTTGTGTTGATGTGATATGATGATGCTTTCGCTATGTACGATTAAGGAGGGATTTAACTCTCAATAAAAGTAGACCATTGAGTGAGTTGGAAATAGTTAAATTTGTGACTTGTACGCAGCAGAATATTTAGAAAGTTTTGTATTTTTAGAAATAGATCTGTGTCTTTCTAACTTTACTTATTTTAGCAATTAATCAATTAATCACATGTAAGATAAAATAATGTAAAGTAATAGAGTCAGATATGACAACATGAATTTTAGCGTGGAAACCCCAGTTGGTAAAATAGACCAACTGTTTACACGAGAAAAATCTCGTGGACTGTGCAATCCAAAGTAAACTGATCCACTATGTATGAAACAAAGTACAATGGACTTTGACTCATGCTCACATCCTATCGGTCTACTAAACACCAATAGCTGACAATCCTTTGGCTTTGCGACATCCCATGCAATAGCACTTGACCTCAGACTTACTCTCGATCTCTGTAGAAGGATCGCTGGTAGATCAAACAGCACTTCTCGAATCCTTTGACCTTTTCAAAGTGTGATCGCTTTTACTTCTGTTCTTCAATAACTTAATTTGATGTAGAAGTAGATTTATTTTTCTCTAATCGTTGTAGATACAAGACTTTAACCACGATCAGGATTTGAACAACATTTTAAACTCACTCTGTGTTTATGTGTATGTTCTAGAAAGAATGACAGAGAAATTAACTTGGATTTTCTGCAAAAATCCAAACAAGATTGAATCCAAATATGAAGGAGGTGGTGAAATTGCTAGATGCGGGAATCATTTACCCCATAGCAAGTGGGTAAGCCCCACACAAATGGTACCTAAAAAGTCTAGTATCACTGTAGTTGAGAATTCCGAGGGTGAATTAGTTCCACAATGCACCACTACCGATTGACGTGTATGTATTGATTACCGGAAACTCAATTTCGCTACTAAGAAGGATCATTTTCCGTTACCATTTATTGATCAAATCTTAGAGCTGGTGGTTGGCCATAGTTTTTATTGCTTTTTAGACTATTATTCCGGCTATAGTCAGGTGGCCATTAATCCAAAAGACCAAGAAAAAACTACTTTCACCTGTCCATTTGGTACTTTTGCTTATAGACGAATACCTTTTGGATTGTGCAATGCCCTTGCTACTTTCCAGAAGTGTATAATGTCTATTTTGTTAAATATGGTTGAAAAGTTTCTTGAAGTCTTTATAGATGACTTCTCTGTTTTCGGATCTACTTTCGAAAACTATCTCCAAAATCTTTCACTTGTGCTTCAGCATTGTAGGAAGACCAATTTGATTCTAAGTTGGGAAAGAGCCATTTTATGGTTCAAGATGGCATTGTTTCAGGGCATATCATTTCTGAGAGTGGTATTGAGATTGATAAAGCCAAAGTAGAATTGATCTCTAATCTTCCTCTCCCTACCTCCGTAAGGGGAATTCAATCATTTCTTGGGCATGTCGGGTTCTATTGATGTTTCATCAAAGACTTTAACAAAATATCATGTCCTTTGTGTAATCTCCTTCCTAAGGATACTCCATTCCATTTTGATGAATCATACCTAGAAGAATTTTTAAAAACCTTCACTCTCTCCATTCCTCTGCTCCCAAAATAAAGCCTTCAAATTGGGCTCTTCCCTTCAAGATCATGTGTGACACATTTGATTATGTCATGGGTGCAGTCCTGGGACAACGAGTAGACAAACTTCCCTATGTTATCTATTGCAAGCAAAATTCTCTTAGATGCACAACTGAATTATACCACAACTGAGAAAGAGTTGTTTGCCGTTGTCTTTGCCTTGGATAAATTTCGATCTTACATTTTGGGATTCAAGGTAGTCGTCTACTCATGCTGCTTTGAGACATTTATTATCAAAGAAGGAAACCAAACCCCTATTGCTTCGATTGATACTCTTACTCCAAGAGTTTCAGTATGAAATCTGGGATAAGAAAGGGTTAGAGAATGCGGTGGCTGATCATCTTTCTAGAATTCTTGTTGAAAATACCTCAATATCACTTCTAATTCATGATTCCTTCCCGGATGAGCAACTGTTTGAGGTTTTTTAAGAAAATTTGCCTTGTATGCCAATATTGTGAACTACCTAGCAATAAGCAAAATTCCTTCTCACACAAATTTAACTTTCCAGTGAAAAAACATGTAATCAAATTGATAGTGGTACATCAGAATGAAAAAAAGCTAAACTCATTATACTTGTCTAAATACCAATCCTCCTATTATTAGTTAAATTTGTCATTACTGAAGATTAGTAACTTCACTGCATAGACTGTACACCAGAAGCATTAGAACTTATACTCTTGGTGTGCAGTTGATTAAAAATTCCTTATTGTAAATATTTTATTAGATACATAATAGAATTCGGATATATAGAAAAGAAGAATCTGATTGAGGGAAGCTCAAGCTGTTTGAAGATTTGATTTAATGGCGGATCTGAGAGATAACATTGACTTTCTGTTGCATTTTGACGCCAATTTCACAGCCCTAAATCAAAATAAAAAACATCATTCAATTGACTCGAAACCAATTTCAGAACCCTAAATCAAAATAAAAAATATCTCAAATCAATCGCAAGTGCAAGCTACTATATGAACATTGAGAATCAATTATATAATTATACAACCACAACACAAAATTCTATCAATATCACACATCACAGAATTTAGATAGAGATTAATATCGATTTTTATATTGACATTCTTTAACTCACACTGATTGTTCTCTAAAATCGATTGGCGAGTACTTTGAGAGAGGCAGTGGAAGAGGACGAAGAGATTCAGTCCGGCGATGCCGAGGAAAGAGAGGGAGGATAGAACTGAGGAGAGAGAATGAGTGAGAGCGAAAGATTTTGAAACCTGATATTCGTGTTTGACGCAGTGAACCTAGTGACCGTGTGTAGTAAGTG